ATGAAGCTATAATCTTTCAAATCCAGAAGTTTATTACCAAAAGGAGATGTTGATATATGAAAAACTTACAGATGAGAACCGTTCAACATTTAATATACCAAATTGCTAGCTATTCAGCCTAGCACTGATCAGATTGTGAAGTAGTGCTTGAAAGGAAAATAAGATGTGGTCTATCCCTGAGAAGCTCAACTTAGTGATCATTCAGTACAAAAATGAAAATAAGTATTGTCTCATACACAATTTATAATGTGTCCATTTACTTTGTAAATTCCTTAATATGTACTTTGTAAATTCTCTGAAGTATCTTTGCTCACATAATAAAGGTTTTCATAAAGAAAAGGTGGAACATTTCCTAAAAATTTCTTGTGAGCCAGGCACTACCTAAACATTTAACAAGTATTTACATGAATTTCCATTTATGTAATACTTATTGCCTATTGTCAAAAATGCTCAGATGTAGCTCATTAATCTACATGACAACTTCCTTCACCAGAAGGTTTGTGAAGTTACTTCTAACATTACATTGACTAGATAACAAACTTTCCAGTGACTGTACATTACTGCAGTGTTTTAACTAAGTTACCCTATCAAGACAAGACTGCTTTAGTTGTCTTAATGACATATATCTTTAATTTAAAGAGAGGTCTTTTTTTTTTTGTATGGGGATTGAACTCACAAACTAGCGCTCGCCAGGCAGACGCTCATGCGGCTGAGGTAAATCCCCTGCCCCAGTGACACATATCTCAAGTAATGTCCATGTAGTGCTACTAAAGCTTCTTGTAGGGTCATGGACTCTAGCCATGTTTGTTTCATAGAACCTTAGCTAGGGAGTAAACAAAAGAGCTGCAATATACAGTTTCTACTGATACGATAATTTGCATAAAATGTACAATTTAATAACCATAATTTAGAAACCAGGTTCAAATAAGAAACTGTAAATTGGTCCCAAGTCCAGTGCAAACTTAGTAAAAGGCACAACCAATGCTTTCACGAGGAGAGTAAATTTTCAAAATTTTCTTCTTTACCAAGCAGCTTTCTGAAGTCTTTAACAATAGGAATTCTCTACTAATTGAAACTCTAACTCTTAACTACAAAAATAATCTTGATCCTAAGTAATGAAGTATACTCTTATTCAAAGACAAAATTTTATGTAATGGAGTTTTTACTTTTGAAATCAAGAATATTTAGTATGCATTTTTTCAAAGATCAAATAAGCAATGTTCACTCTCCAAACCCTTTTCCTGTTTTCTCTCCAGTGCACTTTTTCACCCAGATTTATTATTACTCATTTATTATGTCTTCTACCACTAAAATGTAAACTATATGAGAACAGATACTTTTGTCTGCTTTTTCAGTACTGTATCTCACACATTTGGAAGAGTCCCTAAGACACAGTAAGTGCTTAATAATTATCTGTGGAATGAATGAATGAATGAATGAAGGCTTACAACACAGTGGGAATTCAATCAAGTTTGTTGCATTTTACTATGCAGAGTAACACTCCTTTGATGCCAAACTCTGAACTGGAATCAATGATTAGAAATATAATAAAATTCTCTTATTGAAGTTTCACATTTAAAATGAATGATATAAAAAAAGTCACATTCAGCAAAGGTCTCATTTATCAAACGTCATCAAGAGATGATGGGAGTCTTTATAGATTTATTTTTTAACAAATCCACTTTTAGGTGCCAAAACTTTTCCATAGAGATCTTTTACAATATCCATAGTTTTACTTCATAGCAATTCTAATTGGGATCTCTTGCTGAAACATCAACTTGTCTGTTGGCACTTCTCACCAGTGCTTACTTACTTTCTAGGATTAGGAAATTAAGAAGTAAGCATTCTGTAAAACGAGTCAATAAAAATCTAAGTGAAATGCCTAACTTCAGTATAGCAATTTTGTGACTGTTATGGCGTGCGCGCCACACATGCATCCTTTTTTAACTAGAGGAATGAGCACAGGTAGACTACAACTTATTAATATACAGGCTGTTTTGATTGTTGGGATACACAGAATACAAAAAATTTCGCTCCCTGATCCTGTGTAGTACACTTTATCAAGATCACAGATAAGCTGAATGAGTAAAGAGAATACAGAATGTATACTATTCCCAGAGTACTTAAGAATTGCATGAATCATTAGAAAAAAAGATTAAAACACTGTAAGTAGTTTCGAAATATCAGCCAGAGGTAAATAAATATGACCACACATACATTTAAATATCACATAGTTTCAGCATCTCTGAATTCTATCATTAATACAATTTTGACATTTATAATCAGAGTCTATCAAAAGACTCAGAACTAGTGTCCTTAGTATAGTTCAACATGATCATTTTCCTATACTTGGCAGTCACTGTTACGCACATCTTCATATTCTTAGCTGCCTCAAACTGTGCATCTACTCCTCTACTACCATCTTATTCCCCATTTCCTCCTCATTACTGTTTTGCCCTAATTTTCATACTTGTCTTTATTATCTCATAATTTTTTATATTAAAGAGTCCTTATCTTAAATCAAATAAAGATGGCATATGTGAAACAAAGTGTTACTACTTTTTTTCTGGATCATGGGAACCTGGCCAAGTATAGATACAACGGCATTACAATCTTTGCAGTACTATTTATAAGATTTATCTACTGTAAAGATTACAAGGAACTTTCTTTTTTTAAAAAAAAAATTTGTAACACAGACAGTTTCTTCTAAAGTATACCAACAATTATAAAAATATAAATTTTGACTTGATCTGTTTATATAACTAAAAAATTGCCTATTTTAGAAAACTCAAGATAATTCCTCAGAGACTTTTCTAGCATATAACTCATTGAATAAGACACTCTACACATTGCACTTACTTTTCAAACTGCAGCAGGTTCACTGATACGTATATACATTTTTTTCTAAACAGTACTTTAGGAAAAGAATTTTCTTTACAGAGAAAATTATAGAAGTAGAATAAAGTTTTATTTCTGTTAAGACACAAAACATTTATCCAAGCCTAATACGTTACTAATACTCAATAATATAAATCTTGGTAATTCTCATTTCATTGTAATAATTGTACACAAGTCTTACAACATTTTCAGCTGAAGGCAAGTACTTCTTTCCACTAAAGAAAGGACTAAACTGGCATTATTTTAATCTAATGGGACTGACTGATGTTAGCGTTTATATTTTCAGGAAACATGATGCATCATAAGCATCTGATCATTGCATCCACTTAATAAGTTACAAAGAACACACACTGTACTACCAAGTTCACGAGCCAGGGTCTACATAGTGGTCATTTCACTACTGTTCTTTAGAGAATACTTTAAAATTCCATGCAGCCAGGAGAAAAATAAAGTAAGTACATTTAGTGGCAACCTTACTGACCTAATTAACATACCCACTTTTCTTCTGATTTACCAAGGCTTAAAACTTAAGCACCCTCTATAAGAAACTGATCAGACTTAAGGGGAAAAACCCAAACAGAAGTTTTGAATCATTGGAATTTTTGCTCTATTTCCTGTTAACATGCTGCGAGAACATCGTTCAATATACTCATTCCACACACGTTTTTAAACAGTTATAGGATCTTTCTTTAACTGGGCCCTAATTTAGTCTGTAGCTCATTTATCTGACAATTCTCACAGTTCCTAACTAAAGTGCTCAGCCAAAGCACACAACAAATGAAAAGAAAATCTTCCTTTACTAGAAAATGCTGTTTTCAAAAGTTAGTTTTAAACTGTCAAGTTTTAAAATCAACTTTGGTCTCATTGTTACAAACAATTTAAAGGTATTTTTGAAAAGGTGTCAGGACTCTACTACCAAGCGGTAACAGTGTAAAAACTGAAAGCAAATATTCTATCCCATGGCCACCAAAATTCCCAGCCAAATCTGAAATTGCATAATGAGCAACAGCTTCTTTGAGTAGTTAAGAAACAACTTCCTTTTATAAACTATTAATCAACCTGATCTTAAAATTTTGCACTGTACAAACTTAACCTAAACCAGACAAAATGGATGCAAATTACACTGCCTTACTGTTGCTGTGAACACGACCTTAGCGTTCAAGAACTTTCCAATGAAGGCACTGAACAACCTTTGCTTTGGAGACATGAATTTCACGATCTAATGAGGAACCCCTGTGAAGCTGCAAATTCCCTTCACTCTCCTGGAAACCCCTCTTATCAGAAACATTTAAAGAATTTCTGCACTACAATTAAGCTGACTTGAATAGAACCCTAACATCGCAAATATACTATATATGGAATGAAACACGGCCAAATACATAAATACAAACTAACACGCTCTCTGACAGCCTGGTATACAACTGTGCCCGAACAATCCCACAGCATCAGCGGCAGAAAGATCCACCTGTCACCTGTTCAGCAAGGCCAAGAGACCCTCTCAACCTCCCTGTGTCAACCACAATTGCAGGGGTGGAGGGTACACGAACAGAAAACTAGAACCACACTGCGAGTTCCAAGGGGCCATATAGTCACAGTAAGGCTTGCTCCTCACTTCAAAGCAGGCTGCAGAAAACCAAAATCGGAAAGGGAACGATGTCAGATCAACACTAAATTTCTCAGTCCCGAAGTCATCTTCACTCGGATCCCAGCTCCCCAAAAGGACTTCTGCCTCCCCCGCCGCCAGCGCACACACGCCTGCGGGCGGGTAGAGCGGGCCCCCAACTCCCGACACCCCCTGCCCTGAGCTCCCCCGGCGCCCGGTTCCCATGACCCCCTCCCCCGCCACACCAAAGCCCCGGGAGCCAGGCCCGGCCCGATGCTCCCCACCCCCACCGGTGCGGAGGACTTGGGGGGCCTCTCTCTGCCTCGCCACTGGGGGAAGGACAGGGGCGGAGGGAGGAAGAGGGCGAAGAAGGCGCGGGCGCCCCGCGAGGGCCTCGCGAGTCCGCAGAGCCCCTACCAGTGGAAGGGGAGGTGCGGGGGGCGGAGAGGAGCACCGCGCGGGGGGACCCTGCCGAGGCCCGGCAGCGCTGTCCGCTTACCCTTCGCCGCCGCTTCTCCCTCCTCCTCCTCGGCCGCCGCCGCCTCTCCCACTAGGGCAGCCGTCTCCACCGTCGCCGCCAGCGCCGCCGCCGCCTCCGAGTCCACCAGGCAGGGGGGACACCTCAGCCCTTCCTCCCTCCCCGCTCAGCCCCCTCCGCTCCTCCGCCCCGCCAACTCCCTCCGGCCGCCGCCGCTCCCGGCTGAGGGGGAGGGGAGGGGGTCGGGCTGGGTCGCCCCGCCGCCGGCCGCTGCGGATCAAAAGCGATGGCTGGGCGGCGTCGCCGTGCCCGCGGCTCGGCTCCGGCTCGCTCGGCCTCCTTGCCTCGCTCTGCCCCCACCCCCTCACGCTCGCCTGCCCTCCCCCCACCCCCCCGGCTCGCGCTCGCGCTCGCTCTCGCTCTCGCCGCTCCTCCAGCCCAGTCTAAACCAAAATACTGTCACACAATATGGCGGCGCGGCGGCGGCAAACACCGCGAGATCTGCGGCCGCGCTGAGGCGGCGGCCGTGACGAGGCTTCCCTTAGCCCGGTTGGCGGGGGAGCGGCGGCGGTGGCGGCGCCGCGGGGATGCTCTTTCCCCGCCCTGGACCCCTTCCCAGGCCCGCGCAGTCCCCACGCCCGTCGGAGGCCCAGGCAGAAAGCTGTCCCGGGGCGCAAGGCCGTGCGGGGCTCGCTGTGGCCGCCGGCGGGGACAGGGTGCGGGTCCCCGCGCACACATGGGGACAGGAGCGGTTTGGGCTGAAGGGTGAAAGGAACTGTGCCCCAGCTCCGTCGCACGTTGCGAAGGGGTTGCCGTGTCCGGGAGCGAGTGGCAGGAGTTGCGCGCCGACCGGCGGCGCGGCTCGGTGGGGACCGGGGTGGCGGAGGGGAGCAGGTGGGTCGCTGGCGGCGGCGGGCGCAGAGGCGGACACACCCCCTTGGAGCCCGGCCGCGCGAGTGACCGGAGGAGGCCGGGCCGTCCCCGGGGGCGCGGGCGGCGTCTAGACTGGGGCGCTGCGCGCAGTCGGGCTCTGACTTTTCCGGAGCAGTTGTGGGTCGGGTGGGGATGGAGTGAAGTGGGGGGGATTGTAATCCTGCTTGGGGTTTGTTGTTTCGACTTTATTTTAATTGCACGTTCCTAGAAGTCCTAGAAGCAGAGCCAAAGACACTTTAGTTCTGAGGGGAGAAGGCGAGAGACTTCAAGTTTCTATCTTCTTAAAGAAATATTTGTGTAATTTCCTCCTAGAAGAAAAAAGTTGAACGCTCAGACATTTCTCACGATGTAAAATATTTATTTAAAAACTCTAGCGCTTTCATGGTGTCCAAAACACTACAGCATTTTTCTGTCCCTGTCCAAAACGTCCGTATCGCTGCCAGTTTCTTCCATGAAACAGTTCTTACTCCTGAGAAAAATCTTGGAAAACCATCTTTGTTTTTCTGTTTTCAGTATAAGCGATATTATTTTAGTAGATATTTTTTAAAGCATCCTTTAAGTATAGCATTCCCTACAGTTTTCCCACTTTTCCTCACCCGTGCTTTAAAAATACCTGTAATAGTGGAATATAAAACGCCAAAAGTAGTTAAAATTTACAAAGTTAGAATTTAAGATTTTTTTTGTTTTAATCGTTAAGAGAAGTAAAAGTAGCCAGGGATAGTGGGGCAAGACTGTAATCCCAGCACTTGGGAAACTGAGGCAGGAGGATGGCTGTGAGTTCAGTGCCAGCCTGGACTACATATGTATGTTCAAGACCAACCTGGACTACATAGTGAGACCCTGTCTCAAAGTAGAAGTAAAAAAATTAAGATGTACAAAATGGAAAGATAATTGATGAAACTGGAAGATATGAATAAATATTGTATCCCCCTTAACTTTCCTGATTATGTTCTGTTGGAGAATATTCTTGTTTGCAAGGAAACCATTTATCCCTATTAAAGATTAAACAGAGTATATGGAATTTTCTCTCAAATGGTTCACAAAAATAAATTACATGTATGTTATAACTATATTTACATGTTTATATGTATATACATTAAATATATACTCATGTTCACGTTGATCATATACGTTCCAATTATGTATTGATTTTAAAAACTGGAATTTGAAAGTTGGGTGGAATGGCACATGCCTGTAATCCTAGCACTTGGTAGGCTGAGGCAGAAGAACTGCCACAAGTCAAGGCCATATGGGCTACAGGCAGAGTTCAGAACTAGTCTGAAATATATTGCTAGATCGTGTGTTAAAGAGACTGAGAAAATAGAAAACTCAGAATGTGTTATTTTATCATTTAGCATGTTTGTCATACTTGGTGTAGTCATTGTGGGAGTTGGCACATACATACCACATTTTGGTCTTTTCAATTCCAGTCTCCTTCCTTCTCTAGGTTTTTAAATAAAAATTTTTAAATTTTTAAAAAATTGGCTAATTTGGTCATTACTGTCTTGTAATTTTTTTTTTTTTTAGCAAATTTGAAACAATTGAAAATTCACTAATTTTAAAAGCTAGAATTTAAGAGTGGAGTGGAGTGGCACGTGCTTTTAAAACCAGTGTTTGGTAGGCTGAAGCAGGAGGCCCACTTGGGCTACAGGCAGAGTTCAGAACTAGTTTGAAATATATCACAAGATCCTGTGTCCAAACCAAAACATAAAACAAAATAGGACTTGTACTGAGGACTTAACAGTGGTAGAGTCCTTGACTAACCTAATGCAAAGTTCTTGGTTTCATTCTGTGCACTCAAAAAGCAAAGAACAGCTTTGAACAGGAAAGAGTTCCTTTAAATCTCTAAGAAGAACAGAGAGTCATTGATGGTGGGTCCTCTTAAAATTGAAGTAGTCATCTGTTCCTTGATTACAAACTGGAATTTGGGTCATCCAGGTAGTTCTTCCTTATTTAAATTTGGAACAAAAGCCAGACACACACCAATAATCCTAGCATTTGGGAAGGTGAGGCAGGAAGATCATTGCAAGTCAGTTGGAGGTCAGTTTGGGCTACAAAGTGAGCTCAAGTCCAGACTGAACTGCACAGCGAAACCCTGTCTAGAAAGACCAAAAAAAAAAAAAAAAAAAAGGAAAAAATACCAAGAATTTTTATTTATGTATTTGGTAAATGTGATTTCAATATTTATTGCTTTAGGAAATATTCAGAATCACAAGATTCTGGAGAAAATAAAGAATGCCTTCTAGGTACTTTCTGTAGTAGTTACAGAAAAATAATTCTGTGTATGTAAAATCCTTAAACCATATTGAAGAGCCTTTTTAATCTGGTACAATGCCGTCCTTTTAAATGGAAGCATAATTAAAATTCAGGCCCTCAGTTGCTATAGTCACATTTCAAGTGCTCAAACCAAATGTCCCATCTTCACAGAAAAGCTACTCAACAAATGGGAGAGTTCAAACTGGGAGTCAAACAAATCACATAGCCTGGATGCAAGGTAGATAGTGATAAATACCACAGAAGCTTAAAGGAGTAGAGATCACTTTGCTGGAAGGTAGAAGTGCAAGCAACAGAGCAAGTTTGGAGGAGAAAATTGCATATAGTCAAGGGGAAGTGAAGCAAGAGACCTCCAGGCAGAGAGAACACAAAACGGGGAAGGGAAGGATGTGACAGATGGCACTTAATTCTATGTGTTTGTAACACAAAATATAGAGGAGGGTAAAGCTTCGTAGTGCTCGCAAGTGCTGAGTCAGTACTGTTCTCTAGACAACAGGAAGTTACTAAACATCTTCAAGATGAATGATTTAATAGTTCTTTAAGAACAACCCATCATCAGGTATATGACATGGATTAATATGAAGCTGTAAAGGCCAGATAGCAGTGTAACAGCCCAAATGAGAGACATGATATAGGGTGATTTCCTAGTAAGTGTGTTTTCCGGGTCATATAATAAATCCTAATTTAAAATGCCTTAAGTAATAAATAAATTAGTAGCTCACAAATTTAGAAAATCCAAGGTTAAATAGATTCCACATCTGAAAGAATTACAAGCTCCATGATATCAAGGGCCAGGTTCTTCCCATTTCTGTTCTGCTATCTTGGGTGTTGGCATCATTTTTCTGATATTAGTTCCAGGCATTCTGAACTATAATTTGCAGAGGAACAAAAAGTTGTCCAAGGAGAGGGAAAACATTTCCCAAAACTGCTTCCTTCAATCAACTTTCTTCCCTCTCCTAGGCCATAGTTGACTTGATCCTTAGTTCTCATGGTGAAACAAGTATTGAAGAGTCAAAGATAGCGAGGTTAGAGTAAAATGACTTGGGAACGTAGAAAGAGAAGTTATAAGAAAACGAGATGGTTTTTCTAGTAGTCCTGAGTTAGAGATGCCAGGGACTGTCCAGCTGGAGACGAGGGCTGGGAGGATGAGATGACGACTCTTGAACATCCAAGAGAAGTGTCTGAGAATAACACTGCAGGCACAAAGGAAAAGGTTTTTCGAAAGAATATTTTTGGGTACAAAATATATAAGAGAGGAAAAAAACGTGTGTGCGTGTTCACATGCATGTGTACAAACTGAAGTCTGGTTCTAAGGTTTGTATGCACATGTAAAGGCCTAGAATAACCAAAACAATTTAGAGGAAGAACAAAACTGAAAGACTCACTCTACCGAATTTCAAAACTTACTATAAGGCTCAGTAATTAAGACAGTATGGTATTGGCAGAAGGATAGCTGGATATACCAAGAAACATAATAGAGAATCCAGAAATAGAACTTGAGAACTTGATTTATGGCAAAGTTACTGCTGCAATTCAGTGAGAAAAGGATAATATTTTGAACAAATGGTGCTGGAGCAATTGGCTACTAATCTGGAAAAAAGGATATTTTACTCCTACCTCACTCCATATACAATAATTAATTCAAGATGGATCATAGACCTAAATGGGGGGGGGAAATTAAGCTTCTGTTAATCAAAAGACACTGCAGTATCAGGTTAGTAGGCAGAGAAAAGAGAATGTATTTCACTATGTGTGTCTAAGACTCATGTCAAGAATATGCAAAAAATTCTATAAATAGGAAAAACCAAATGGTTCAATTTTTAAAATGGGAAAATCTTGGACAAGTACTCTACAGAGATGATTTCCAAATGACCAATAAGTACAGGGTAAACTGTTCAATATAATTCCTCATCAGGGAAATTCAAATTTCAATCAAAATGACATATTACTACTGTACATACTCA